CGCTTGAGATGTGGAAGTTCATTTGTGATGATAGATAGCTTAAGTCTACCTGACTAGTCCAAGCTAGTTAAGCTGGAGTTAGGTGTTACCTGTACCTAAAGCATTAGGGAAAGATCCATTAGAGCCAGATCAAAATCTCAAAATAATTCTTTGGCTTGCTTCATAGTCACAAAAAAGCAATCTCTGTTCCATGAACTTAGCCTGCAGAGTTGTTTGCTTTAGCTTGATGGCTTGGCCTAGCTATGGAGGCTTTGATTTTACATTGATGTTTTACTAAACCCTCAGACTCTGCCACTTTGTTTCTGGTTCCTGGTTCTTTCTCTGTCTTAGCTCTTTGTGAACTGACTTTACGGTTATGTTCTCCTTTCTATAAACATCCTGACTAGCTACTGCTTTGACATGGCTATCCTGAGCCTCTAAGAGGGACTCAGTTGTCTCCTATGGCTGGATGTTTCCCAGTTCTGAAAGCTTCTGGAATACTGGTTCTGGCTCAAGGAAATGGGACAGGGAAGCAGTCAGAAACCAAGGAAGCCACTCTCTTGGTTCTCTGTCTGCTTTCCTCTAAACAGCTCCTCATGCATTTTCCTTCCTTCCTTCCTTCCTTCTGATGTTTGAACACCACCAGTCATTAGACATGGGGGAATCCAATGGAACAGAACAGCCGAGGCCCCAGCTGTCACAGAACTTCATCTTGCACTTGGCCACTTTTGCTGCCCTCATCCCACAGTTCATATCCTTTCTGTTCTGCTCTCTGGAGCCAGCTAGCAATTGCCTTCTGGGTCTCTCAGTTAAAATCCCTACCACAGGCCATCTGATTGGCCCAGCTTTCCTTTTTGAGTCCAGCCACAAATCCTAGGCCACTGGCTACGCAATGAATAGGTTGGTCAGGTGCCATCTTGGGGTCCCATCAACTGTGGCTAGGAGCAGAGTTATGTCCAAAATATGGTGGTGTCCACCTACAAGGGATTATGGATGCTGGTAGTCATGGTCCAATCTCTGAAGGGGCAGTTCCAGAAGTCAGACTAAGGAAACTAGTATTTCACTGGCTACCTAACTTATTAAAATTCCAAATGCGCATATTGGATTGTGTATAATGTGTTCTTGATTAAAACTCTTGAATGGCTTATAAACGAATGCACTTAGGGCCAAAATCCAAAATCCCACCATGCCAGTAGTGCTGCATCGTCTGGACCCAGCCCTCTTCCTGGTCTCATTTGATGCTTCTCCTCTTCCCTCTTTATGCTGCAGGCTTACTGGCTTTCCTCTCCTCATTTCTCCAGTCCCAGGGCCTGTGCACACATTATTCTTCTCCCTCCATACTTTATTCCTTTTACTAGGAAGACAACTTTTCCTTTATCTGATCCTAGTGTCACTTTCTCTTCCTTGATCATCCAGCAGAATTAGAGACCCATATTTATATTCCTCAGTACTGGGGTTTGAACTCAGGGCTTTGCACTTCTGGGCAGGTGCCTTACCACTTGAGCTACTCTGTACTTTTTACACTGTATTTTCCTTTCTTGGCACAGATCACTGTTTCAGGTAATGTTGATCTGTGTGTTCACTTGTTCGATACTCATCTCTCTCACTAGACTAAGGGTCTCATGGGGGGGTGGTCATAGCTATCAAGATGGTGGCTGTTTCTGGCCCATAGTGGATGATTAATAATAAATAGTGGATGGATGGATGGATGAAGAAGTGAGACATTTTGTTGCCCGGGATTCACTAAAGACTTCATAGAAAGCATGAGATTTGATCTTGGCCTTGAAGGATGGATATGATTTGGAGAGGACAGGGAAAACATTCCAGGCAGGGATAAGATTGATCAGCCAAGGCAGAGAATTCAGAATAAGGGTACCGTGAGAACAGGAGGCTGAGTAAAGCTGAGGTGTGTGCTGACAAGATATGGAAAATAAGGTTGCCTTGGTGGGAAGACTCCCAAACAGGAAAATGTGAACTTGAGAACTGTATTAAATAATAATAGCTTCCATTGATATGGCACTTGCTATGTTTCAAGTTCTTTTCCAAGTGCTTTAGGAATATAAACTCATTTAATCCTCACTCATTGCCTCTGACGTGCTATTTTAATTTCACTTATTTATTTTTTGCAATGCTGGGGATCGAGCCCAAAGCCTTGAGCATACAAAGCAAGTGTTTTGCCACTGAGCTACAATCCCCAGCCCTGTAAGTACTGTTTTGGTGCCCATTTTATAGATGAGGGAGTTGAGGCCCAGGGAGATTATCTCATTAAAGGTCTTGTGATTAGTCAAAGCAGATTTGTGTTCAAATGTGGGCAGACACAGATGCAGAGTTGGGCTGCTTGAATGCTAGGCCATGCTCTCTTTTTCCTCTAGGAGAGGCATGATTTGGCAGAAGATCACAGTAAGGAAACAGGCAGGAGAAATGCATGGGCTCTGGTTTTAGATTCACAAAAGGGTGCTGCTGCCCAGAAATGACTGAGCTGGGAAAAGGAGCTGGGTTTGGTAGAGAAGGAGATGGAGAACCCAGTGATGGAGCAAGAGATTCCAGACATATGACCAGGAAAGCTTGAGTCAGAAGAGCAGCAGCCTGCTTTGCTGTCTGCTGGCAAGTTTCAACTTCTGTCTGATGAATTTTATAATGCCCATCTCAGAGGGTAGGACTGGATAAGAAAATAAGAGAAGTTTGTGGCACAGTGTTTGGTACACAGCGGGTGGCCTGGTGCATGTGAATATTCTTCCCAGGGATTGGATGATGACAAGGATTGGCCAGAATCCTGGCTGCAACCTGGGGGTGGCAATAGTAATTTTTATTTGGTACTGGCCAGTTGGGTCTAGCTGAGCAGTCTTTCAGCAAAGGTCTGCTGAAGTCTCCAGTTCCAAAGCTTTGCAGGGTGCAGGCCTGGATGGTCTCTGGCCATCCTCCAGCTCTCTGGTCTTTGTAGGCGGGCTTTACACTTGGCCTTCAGGCTCAGCACCCAGGTAGGAAGGCCCTGGAACCTTTCCAATCTGGACCAATGGCCCAGATTCCCTGATTTTAGTAAACTCCTATTCCCAGGGTAGCTGGGAGCTGCTTTTTCTTCTTCGCGCTGTGTCACCTATCTGCTTCAGCACTCAGATCCATCTGTCCCAATGATGGCTGGAGCCACTTTTCCCCAAGAGTGGGAGGAGATGATTTGATAACACAGTGAAAGGGATTCCTGTTCTACTTCCCCTTTGGTCCTCTGATTACTAGGCTATCTTTAATGCCACTCTAATACTTCTGTTCAGTGATAATCCTCTTGACAAATTATCGCTGAAGGGCCAGTCTTGAGCTAGGACAAGCAACAGCTAGAATATAGTGTGATTATTTTGTTTATCGTATTCATTTTCCAAATTATCATTTGCTTAGGGCAAGTAAATCCACTTTTCTTTTATAGTAGTGATACTATAAAATTACCCTTTAAAATATTTTTATTAAAAAAGTGAGTCTATTAAAAAATTAGGTACATAATTATTGATGTGGTATGTGGATATGAGAAAAACGTCATAAAAGTTGTGCTCAGGCACCTGAGGTTTGGGAAGTGCTGGCACAATGGGAGAAACTGCTCTGCACAGGAAGCAAATGCTTGGATGTAAGCATGGCTCTGCTGGTTGGCACCTAAGATGCTCATTCACCAACTCTCTGTTTCCTCACCTGCCAAAATAGAGACGGTAATTCCTGGGACATGAGGTTGTTTAAGATTAAATAAGATCATTAGATTGACTGTCACTTGCACGAAATGACTCTTTAGTGATTAAAAAAATGAATTGTTGCTAGTGGGCACTTTGTAATAAAACTCACTGAATGATTGTGGGTAAGTTGCTAATTTCTGGAAAGTTCCACCCCACACTGAGGATAAAATCTGGACAAGTCACATAGCATCTCTTGCTCCTGTTTACCCATCAGTCACTGAGAATATGAGTGATACTGTCTTCCTGGGGTAACTGAGAGTGTCTAATGGTTCACACGTCCATGGCACTAGGTGACTGGCTGGGTAAGTGTGAGGAATTGGGATGGTGGCCCTCCCTCCTACCCAGGCTGCAGCCCGGAGTGTGAAAGCTCTTTGGAAGGGCAAAGTCTGGATATGTGCCCAAAACAGTCCAGAAAGTCGCTGTTGGTAAGTGCTTTCTAATGTGTACTGTTCAAAATAGTCAACCATCCTCCTACTTGGTCTTCCCAAAGCCTGTGTGAAGTGCGGCTCCTCCCTCCAGGTAACTTCCTGCAGTAATGCTTGCTTTGGGCTTCCCCCTGAAATCCCTGTGTGGATACCCTAACCCCCAATGTGGTGGTAATCAGAGATGGGGCCTATGAGAGGTGATTAAGGTTAAGACAAGGTCATGAGGGCACCTCCCCCACCCACAGCATTCGTGGCTTTATAAGAAGACGAGAAATAATTCTCTTTCTGCTTTGTGAGAGCACAGCAAGAAGGCCACTGTCTACAAGCCAGGAAGAAGGTCCTTGCCTGAAACTGAGCCTGCTGGCACCTTGACCTCAGACTCCCTAACCCTCTACACTGTGAGAAATAAACGCCTGCTGGATAAGCCAGCCAGTCTACAAAATTCTGTTGTAACAGTGCAAACTGATTAATGACATAATGCCCAGAATTCATCTGCAATCTTTAAAGAATGTATTGATTCTTTACGCCGTGCATTCATTCTCTGTATGGATTTTTATTTAAGCTTCACAATGCTATGGAGGGGAGAATTATCACGTTCCATTTTGCAGGTGAGGAGACTGAGGCTTGAAGCTCAGGTGACTTATCCAATGTCCTAGAGCTATTGTGCACCAGACTTGGATCTTGAACACTACCTGGTAGCCTCCCAAGATTCCTGTGGGGACACACTGTCTGAGATCTATAGGGAACATCTTATTGGCCTCAAGAGAGAAAAGGGAGTTCTTAGGAGCAAAGTTTAGCTCCTAACAGAGAGAAGAGCCCATCTGGAGGCAGGGGAGTGACTTTGTGTAGGAAATACCCAGAAAAAAACCAAAACACCCCAGCTTCATTGGTTACGACACGGCAAAACCTTTAATAACGTGAGTGCTTATTACATTAGCTGCTTCGGGGCTCAGACATCTTTGATTTCTGGTCATGATTTTCTAACACAGAAAGGTGAATGCCTCCCTCAGGGCCACCTGGGTGGTTGGCTTCCTGAGGACGTGGACAATGGGAACAGCTATGCACGCCTGATGGGGATTTGGAAATCACCCACCCTGGACCACCTGTGACTTCTAGTAAAGTCCTCTTCCAAGGAGGGAAGAATGTGGAGGTCCTTCCAGCAAAGAAGGAAGAAAGGAAAAACATCTGGCACAGATACACAGAGAGAGAGAGGTGACATTAGGGATTGGCTTGAAAGTTAGAGAGGCATGGAGGGGTCAGGACTGGGGCAGGTGAGGGACTGATGTGGGAGGGGACTGAGTCCATTTGGTTTCATTCTTTGTAAGAAGTATACCATCACGAGGACCATGCCATGCAACCTTACAGACATCTGTGTACACTGCCCCCAAGGCTGTGCTGGGTGCGGGGCAGAGGTCAGAGGTCAGAGGTCAGCTCAGACAGGCGTGGTGCGTCTGTTAGCCGGATTATTATGCAGTGACTCTTTGAATTCTTTGGGCGTGGAATTGTGGAATTGTAGAAAAGCGTGGTCCCGGTCAGAGTTGAGGAGGGTCCCCATTGTAATCTTGGAGGGGTCCCGGGAGAGGGTGAACATGGAGATATCAGTGGAGGGAATGGTATGGAAGCCTTTGCTGATGGGAGACAGGTCTCGAGATCTAGGCTCAGTGGAGCGAGAACTTGACCTTCTCCGAAATCTATACCTGTAGGGTGGAAGGCGGGCGAAGGCAGATTTCTTCAGGAGCTCCGAGTGGGATTTGGCTCGTAACTGCTGATGTTTTTCAATATAGATGTGCACAGCGACCACTCCCACAATTTCAGCAATGATGAAGGAGAAGGCTCCAAAATAAAAAGACCAACCGTAGGAATAGCTTTTCTTGGAGTCACGCTGCCCGGGGTCTCCGGCGTTGGCTGATATATAAACTATGATGCCGATGATGTTACTCAACCCTAAGAGAAGGGAAGAGAAAAACACATGTTTTATAACACAGTCACTGTCACTTTTAGCCTTGCAATATTTATAGGAAATGTAGAGGTAGCAGGGAGAGAGGAAAATACAGTATGGCTGGGAGGGAAATCCCACTGCTGGGCGCTTTCTGCAAGTTCTATCTCTTGGGAAATGAAGAATTCCGGTGCTCAGTCCGGAGCAGTGTGAATTCAGCTAAAGAGTACATCCCGCTCCTGCAGCAAGAGCAGTAGAACCAGAATACCTTGTTCCCTTCGAAGCAATTCTTTCCATCAGTGCTAAATCTTTGGCATGAAGATATAGAATGGCAAAAATGAACGAGAGTTAGGCCCTTGCCCTTGATTTCCTCACCATTAGTTGGAGAGACTGACATGCAAGTGCAATTAGAGTAAAATATGGTAAGGGTTCTATCAGAAATGCATATAAAATGATTCAGAAGGAAAGGGAGAGAGACAGGCTAAGTACCTAGCATTGATGATGAGGTGACATTTGAGTTGGATGCTGATAACTGAGCCACACAAGTGGCAAGGCTGTGGACTATGGGTGTGAGAAAATAAATTGAGAATTACTTGCTAGGACTCTGTCTTGGATAACTGGGAGGCTGGTGGCAACTTGAGCTAAAATAAGAGGCAGCAGAGAGGCCAGGCTTAGAGAAAAAGGGAGGCCTGGACACACTGAGTTGGAAGTGCCTTTGGAGAGACAAGTGCAGCTCTCCAGGGGACACAGGGGACCCTGGTGCTGCAGTTTGGGGAAAATGATGAGCCCACAGGGAAGGGACAGTAGCTTGCTAAGTTTTTTTATCTGCACAGAATAAGGTGTGTTTTCAATTAGCTGTTGTTTGAGTGGCAGGAATTTGGGAACACAAAGCCACTAACCTCAATAGGCAAGGCCTGCAGGCTCAGTTTCCCCAAGTGACAACAGAATTGCATTGGGACCAGCCCTGTGCAGAGGGATTGGTTCCCTAAGGAAGGATGAGAAGGAATAGTAGATTCTGAGTTCTCATGTTGCTGTTTCGAAGGGGAAATGTCTCTTTTTGTCCCTTTGCTTCCAGGGCCTCTTCAGGTGATTGGTGCCAACAATGACTCAAGAGGTTGGTGTACCAGCTGGCATCTCCTTGCCTCCAAATTTAAGCTACCTGTGGGGTGATCTAAATGGAGCCTGTCCTTCATTCTAGGGACACCAATTGGTAAGTGATTGTTTTGGGGCATCTCCTTGGTCCTCCCTCGACTTCTTGAAGGTTCTGTGCTTCCTGGGTATCCCCAAGTCAAACAGCTAAAGGGTTATAGGGCTGGGTCCAGCAGGGCTACCACTGTGACTGGCTGGACCATACGCATTAGATTATCAATATTTTGAATGTGACTCTGGTCACACTTCATCTACGACTTGCCCCTAAGGGACTGGGCCAGTATGTGCTTCTCAGTATGTCATCTCAGGCATTCGGCAGGAAGGCAGTGAGTTCTAGTCACTGAACTCCTTCTCGACACGGAAGATGACAGATCCAGCTGTGTCAGGCTGCAAGCTACTACTGGATGAAAAACTGCATCTCTTCCTGGAGTGTCAGTTTGGCTGGAAGATTAGTAAGGAAGACATATTCTTTTATATTAAAATGAACATGGATATAATAAGGAGGAAAGAGCAGAATTCTCATGAATTTTTAGATTAAATGGGAGACAGACTTCAAAGTCATCTCAGTTCACTGAAGGCACTTCTAGTGATGCCCCCTCCTCGCTCCCTAGGGCCATATTTTCTCTCTCCTTTGCCAGCAGAGAAATTTTTGGTGACAAAGTTTAGGAAGCCCCCAAAAGTTGTCTTGCTGGGTGGAAGTTGCAGTGGGGGTGGGGAGGAAAGAAAGTTCAAAGAGAGGCTCAGAGTGTCAGATGAGGTTAAAGAGGCAGGAAGCCAAGTGAGTTGCCAATAATTTTTAAGGCATTTACTATGTGCCAGGCACTAGTCTATTTTTTTTTTTTTTGGCAGTGCTGGGGTTTGAACTCAGAGCCTACTCCTCAAGCCACTCCACCAGCCCTTTTTTTGAGATGGGTTTTTTTGAGATAGAGTCTCGCAAACTATTTGCCTGGGGCTGGTTTTGAACTGTGATCCTCCTGATCTTTGCTTCCTGAGTAGCTAGGATTATAGCTACCTGCACCTGACTCAAAGTCTTCATTTGACTGAGTGATTGATTGAGGTGGTGGGGTTTGAATGCAGGGCTTAATGGGCTACAGACAAGTACTCTATCACTGAGCTACAACCCCAGTCTTTGTATGAAGTATTGCCAAAACCCAAAAAACCTGACACTCCCACTACGCCTTTTACAGAGGAGGAAACTGACACACAGAGGTCAGTAAGTAACTTCCGGATTCCACACAACTGAGAAATGGTGGAAGTGGAATTTGAAGCCAAGACTCAGCCATGGTGCACTGGGATTTCAGTAACAAGGCTCGGCAAGAACACCGTGTGATGGGGCATTGCTCTGTCCCACCCATCAGACTGGAAGTCCCCAAGGCAGGCTCTTTTTGTTCATTGTTATGGTCCCAAGTCCTAGTTCAGAGCCTGACCAAAGCAAGAGCACAGTATGTATTTGTTGAATGAGTAAATGAGTCTATGTGAGCACAGAATGCACAATACTCGTAATTACAACTACTGTGATTGAACAGTTATGTAGACCAGCTTATCTAGTCCTCTTAACAGCCTCAACAGGTATCATCCCTTTTTAGATGGGGAAACTGAGGCACAGAGAGGTTAAGCGAGTTGCTTAAATTTATACAATGGGGAAGGAGTAGCGCCAAGGATTTATACCAGGAAACCTGGCTTCAAGGTTCATGCTTTTGAGCAATATGCACAGTGCCTTGTACACAGTAAGTGCTCAATAAAGGGTTGTCCATCACTTTCCTGAAACCACAAATCTTAGTGTATTGAGCAAGAAAGATCCTCAGACAGTGCGGAATCCTCCCGTTCCTTAACTTTATAGGTGGAAAAATGGAGGCTCTTGGATTTCCTGGGAGAGATTAGTGGAGGGGGGCGTCTAGGATTAGACCCCAAACTCCAGGCCTTTTCTCAGGGTTTTCCCACTCCCAGGTATGTAACCTACCTGCCATCCCCCACAATGTCCCTTGTGCAAAGAAAGTAGCTAGTGACACACTCTTCCCTAACAATCCCCTTGGGGGACAAAATAATGATTGTCTCTTATTCTTTGTAAACTGTCACTTCAGCATTATACTGGAACTGATCCTCAGGGTCAGTCAGAGCCAGGATGGGGCCACCAATCACAGGAATGTGCCTCACAGTCAAACAAGTCCCTGGGTTTGCCAGTTGTTAACATCTGCCCACACAGATCATGGTCAGAGGCCACAAGTGCCTTCAGCTGACCATGTTTCTCTGGGCAAGACGGCGGCTTTCTGTCTGATCTGTAGCTTGAGTGGGTTTCCAGAAACTCTGAGGCAGATGCTGTCTCAATCCTCATTCCACAGTGGGGAAGGAGCCTGTGCAAGGTTTTATAGGGGACCAGGACCCTGGGCTCCAGACTTTGCAACTATCTTGTTGCTGATTTTCCCAAATCAGAAAACAACATATGCCTTTTACACTCAGTTTCCTTCCAACAACCCGATGAAGTCAATTCTATTATTATTTGGCATGTTAAAGCAAGAAAACCAAGCTGCAAGAGGTTGGGGACAATTCCCAAGGCCACACAGGTGGAACCACGATTCCCCTCCATTGTCCCGATCCTCACAAACATTCTGCCACTGCAGACCATTATCTTTATATCCCTGGTTCCAGTTACCTGTGGTCAACTGTGACCCAAAAATAGAACATGGAAAATTCCAGAAAGAAACAATTCATATGTTTTTAATAACTTTTATTATAATATACCATTATGATTATTCTATTTTATTATTATTTATTGTTAAAGTCTTACTGTGCCTCTTCTATAAATTACCCTTTATTGTAGGTTTGTATTTATAGGAAAAAACATGGCGTGTGTGGGGTTTGGTACCATCTGCAGTTGTGGCCATTGCCTAGGGCTCTTGGACCATATGCCCTGTGCATCAGGCGCAGCTACTGTAGTGTGCAAAGTTTGCAAGTCATCCTTAAGGAGTCATCCCGTGTCCCCCCCAACCACTTCCTTGCTCTTTGCTTCTCTAAAGCATTCCATCCAGATGGCACCCATCTGCCTGGAGATGGCGGGTTGGGAAGAGACCATAAAGACATAAAAAGGAAGGATGGAAACCCAGGGGAAAGGGAGGAAGACAGAGAGAGCAGAAGAGGGATGGAGGTGGAAGGTGGAGAGAGAGGGCAGAAGCTAGAACCCTATCCTGTGCCTCCTCCTGCTCAGTTGCTATAGATGACAAGGTCTTTCCTGAGGGCATCTGGGGCTTCTGACCTTTACCTTGTTCCCAGAGATACTTTGAAGGATATGAGGATTTGAACACTGGAAACACTTTAACTGCCAGGTGTAGGTGGCTCACACCTGTAATCCTAGCTACTTGGGAGGCAGAGATTGGAAGGACTGAGGTTTGAGGCCAGCCTGGGCAAATAGTTCCCAAGATCCCATCTCCAAAATAACCAGAGCAAAATGGACTAGTAAAGTGCCTGCTTTACAAGCATGAAGCCCTGAGTTCAAACCTCATTCTCACCAAAAAAAGAGAAAAAAAAAAAAAGAAAAGCTATTAGCCAACAAGCACAAATCTCAAGGGACAGGAATAGTATATGATCACACCCAATGGACATGAACAAAAATCTGTCTCTCGCTGTCACATTCCACGTGGCCACCTTTATATATGCAAGTGAATACACTGACTCTTTTGAAAGCAGTCTCTGACTTTCTCTGTCCCTCTCTCTCAGCTGTCCCCCTCCTTGTCTTTCTATCATGCCTCCCTTTGCTAGAGTTTCAGCATTTTCTCTTGTAACAAAAGTTACAAGAGAAAATACAAGTTAAGTTTCCTAGGGGGAACCCTGAACAGAAGTGCTTGGTCCTTAGGGCCCTGGCTTCAGCTTGGTGTCTGTGAAGATGTCAGGGCTGAGGCAGGACACTCACCTGCAGAGACAAAAAAGATGCCCGCGCTGAGGATGACATTGTGTCTGCTGCGGTGGAACTCACTGGCTGCCACACAGAGTCCCCCGAAGAACAGTAACGTGACACTGAGGATGGGGAAGACGCTGGAGGCCCTCACAGCCCCTGTGGAGAGAAGAAGAGAGGCTTCTGTCTGCACCCTGGCAAGTCCTGGGGGCCCATCCACCAATGACGTGGGGGTGACTGAGGGGAAGATGGCACTGGAAATGGCGAGCAAGCCCACATCTAACATGAGCATGTGACCAGTGCTACCTGCTTAGAAGGAGGTCCAGCGCTTGGGGTCAACTCTGCAGTCACCATCCTGAGTCTTGACAATCTTGTCTCTGAATTTGTATGTTGTAAGTGAAGTCTCATGGGACAACAGAGCAGGTGTTAGGGGCTCGGAGCCTTGACTCACGAGTTACCACCACCCCCATCTCCTAACCTCCTTGTCTATACCTTCCTACCTCCTGGGATGGTTCTCAGTCCTCCCCTGCCTCAGCCCAGTGATCACTGTCACCCTTTGTCCCTGGAAGGGGCCTGAACATGAACACAGGGAAATCAGGCTTAGGCGCAAGCCCCAGGTCTCCAGGAGGGTTTGCACTTACTGTAAAAATGTCCCCATGCCAAAGGGCAAACACTAAACAACAAATATCACCATGACAGGTCAAGAGAGAGGAGGCATTTTGAACCAGTGGCCCAGAATCTTCATTTTATATTGGAACCCGCAAGGTATGTAACCAGTCTTGAATGCAGGGACTCCCATCAGGCCCTGCGCTATTAAAATGCACAATCTTCTCCAGCACACACCTGCGTCTGCATAGCACAGGGCCTGCAATACCCATTCAAACCCATTTAGCCACTGAATGAACAAATGAATTTATTTATTCATGCAGCAAATATTTATTGAGTCCCTATTAAATACCAGGTGCTGGGCCAGATGCTGGGGGGTAGTAGCAGAAGTGCTTAACAACCACAAGGGCACTGGTAATGCCCTTGAAGATGGACCTGGGCTGAAAGGTTGGAGCAGAGTACAGGGGGAGGAGTGGGAGCAGTGTTAACTCCTTGGTTTCTGGATCACAGAGAGGCCCCAAGGTTCTGGGAAAGGGGTCCCATGGGGAAGTCCTACAGTTTGTCCAACCAGTGTAAGAGTGCACCTGCTCCTTGGCTTACAGTGGGCTGTTTCCACAAACTATGGAGAATTGAAAACATTGTTAAGGCAGAAATGCCCTGACTACACACACCTGCCCCGTTCAACATCCCAGCAACATGGGACACTGTAGAATATTCATTGTGTCCCCTTGTGATCACGAGGCTGATAGGCAGCCTCAGCTCACTGCCCACCACAAGAGATGATCTTTTCACAAGCTGCTAGCTCAGGAAAAGACCCAAATTCAAAATTTGAAACAAGGTGGTTTGATGGAATGCCTATTGCTTTCATACCACCAAAGTTGAAAAATCCTAAGAGAACCTTATGAAAAGTCATGAGTTTGTTGGGGACTGGATGTCTGTATTTCCTCCTATCTGTGTTTCCTGGTATAGCCAGGCCAGGACACAAATGCTGAATGAATCCTGTGCTCAATGCTGTGCAAAAGAGCCAGGAACCCTGACCTCCTGGTTTTAGCAGAACAGCAGCTAGGCCCACTGTGTAATTTGCAGGGCCTTGTACAAAATAAACGTGCAAAGCCTCCTGTACCAGAATTGTTAAAAATTTCAAGATGGTGACAACAGAGCCTTGAGCCAACGCTTCTGTAGGATGGGCACAGTGACTGTAGGACTTCAGAGACCCAGGTGTGCACTGGACAGGGCTTGGACTAGCAGTGGACCACAGATCATAAGCCATTGGATTCAGGGTGAATTTTACATTTTGCAGGTAAAGCCAACACTTTGCTGATGGATAGGCTGTGGGCTGCCAGAGGGAGAAGAGTCAGTAACTCAGTAATGACAGCCAGGCTTGCTCTTAGTTTGGAGTGAATGGTGGAGCATTTACTGACTCAGGTCCCTGGGGTGGAGTGGTGTAGGGGTGGGGCAGGGAGAGCCACAGCTTATTTGGCCATGGTGGGAGGTTTGCTCACAGCTAAATTCACATTCCTCAGCATTCTAGGCTTTAAACTCCACAGTCACAGTGACCAGTTCCAGCCACTTCCTGTGAAAATGTGCTCAGACCCCCTGCAAAGTTCTTTCTGCATTTCTGCAGTGTGGTGCTTTGATGGGCTTTGTGTGTTTGCTTTCTTATTTTCTCAGTACTCTGAAAGTTTAGGAGCTGATCTAGTCAGTAGGGATTGCCCAGAAAGGTCCATGGAGGAGCCCTGGGGTGAAGGCTGGGGCAGGCAGGGGTGGGGACATGGAGGAAGGGTTCACTTAATGGAGAGAAGAAAGAATGTTCTGTATTTATTCCCAGGTGGCTTAATGTACAGGTCTGGGAAGCCCCAGGGTCCCAGAGTTATCTTACCTCTCCCGCCCTTCTGATGCTAAAAAGGCATTTAGAAGGATTTCAAAGTGCCTAGAAAATCAGCTCAAAGAAGTGAGGCGTAGCGGGGAGGATCCTGGCTGCCCTGACCCCCTCAGATTAGATCAGTCACCCCATGGGCTTCTGGCCTGCCCTGGCTGTCCTGCAGGTCTCTGCTACCAAGCTGGCTTGTGTTGGAGCTTGGAGAAAAACAACCCCAAAACATGGTGTTAGCATGCTGAGTAACGTGATTTAAAGGACATTGAAAGGCCTTAAAAAGGCAGGCTTGGCATCAAGGTCCTTCTGACCTGTTGCCCTCTCCTCCTCCAATCCCATTCACCCCAAAGGGCAAGAAGAGGCATTCTGCAAGATTCTCTTATCTGCCTGAGGTCTAGACACACCAAAAAAAGAAGCAATTATCTCTGTCTCTTTCCTGAATTTCCATTAGCTAAACTCATTGCACAGGATAAAGGACTGAAGTCTGTCAACATACCTGGACAGACTTTGTCCACACCATAGCCTCTACTTCCATCCCATTGTAAATTTACAATGTATTGTTCTTCAGGTCAGACTTTGTTCCAGGCAACTGTATTTCTACAAGCCCACTGAGTTCCCTGGAAAATCATATACTACTCCCCACTCTCTCCCTTCTGCACAGAAAAAAGGACTCTAAGCCATGTTAGACTAGAGGGAAATCATGTTCCTGTGATTTTCCAACATTCTGTGATTTTTTTTTTTGCCTCGTTTTTAATAAATTTATGCCTTTTTCTTATTTTTTTTTTTTGTGGCTATTGGCAGTTCATTCCAGGGAAATTTCAGAGGGCAGAGGATATCCCTCTTTGCCCTGGACACCTGAAGAAGGCAGAGCTGCACACTGTTTCCTTTAGCCCTCAGGTGCAGAGTGTGATTCTGGGTGAGTGGGCTCTGGGATCCTGAGTGTGGGTGGAGCTTATTTCCAATGGGTTTAACCTTGGGAGCAACTCATTAAATAATTTCTAAAAATTTATATGTATGACCTTGAACTCTTGGCTCAGACCTCCCTCCTCGGGGGTTTCAAGTACCCATTTGGAACTTGTGAAGTAACCTTTAAAGAGATCATTGCATTGTGTAATGACAAGACTTACTGAATAGTTAATACAATGAGTTTATTTGATTAGAAAAGAGAATTTTTTTTTAAATTTCAGAAAATGATTAATCTTTGAAATGTGCCCACAGGAAATGCTCTGCACATTTGAAGCTACTGAATTAGGTTGGGTATGAAAGTGCGTATATGACACACATAGGCATGTGACATGCAAATGTGGCCGTTTCCAAAGTAGCTTAGCAATCATTTGGTGACTCATTGGTGGTCAGAACCACTTTTTGCCCTATAAACAAGACAGGAGTCAAGTCGGTAAACTCTGGCTACCCATGTCTGCCTTAAGGTAGTGAGTGTATTTTCTGAAGCCATTTTCCTCCGAGTTAGCTGGATTCCACTCTGCCCAGGGGACACATGGCAGCTTCAGAACAAAAAGATGTTATCTTCCTTCTGCTTCCCAAATTCTCTGGGGCTAAGTTAGGGTCTTGGGTGACGAGGTACTTGAGTAGGACTTCCCTGAGTCTAATGCTGTTATAAATTGTTGGCAACAGATGGGGCTTATTAAACCTCTGCCATGGTGCTATGTTTGACTGACCACAGTCCCCAAAGTTCATGTGCTGGGAATTTAGCTCCAAATCCATCTTAATGATATTTGGATGTCGGATGTTTGGGAGGTAATTAGGATTAGATGAGATCATGATGTTGGGGTCCCCATGATGGCATTTGTGGGCTTTTTAAGGAGAGAGAGAGAAAGAGAGAGAGACTGGAGCTGGAATGTCTGTTCTATCTCACCACGTGATATTCTTTGTCTTGTTATGATGTAGGAAGAAGGCCCAGCCTCCATGACTGTGAGCTAAATAAATGTCTATTCTTTACAACTTACCCAGTCTCAGGTATTCTGTTATAACAACAGAAAACAGACTAAAACACAGGGATTTAAGCTGTAGCCTACCCTAAAGTGCATAAGAGAAAGAGGAAATGGCAGAAAAATCATACGAAGAATTCCAGTCCCATCAGTGCTTGTGGGTCATGATAGGAACTGGCAGCCAAACTCTAGGATGGGTAAGGAAATCCCTGTAGAAACATGGCCTTGGCCTTAAATGGCAGGGTCAGGGATTCCAAAATTGCTGTAGAAGAAATCAGCGTGCTTGTTAAGGCCTCTCCTTAAACTTAATCTGATTTTATGGCTATTGGTGAAGTTTAACTGGGCCGTGGGATAGGGGAGGAGAGATGAAGGAAAGAGGACTTTACCTTCCCAGAGGGAAGAAAAATATTTCATTGGGAAAAAAATTTGAGCTCTCCAAAGAACTTAAAATCAATTTTATGGAATGAAAGTCACACTTCTGTTTTGTCTCCAAGAGAAAAAGCATCATAAATGTTTCTCTCATGTAGAAAAGAAGAGCTAAGATAAACTATGGGCACCCTAGTAAAAGCCCACTGGTAATGAATTCAACCCATTCTCTTTTGGTGGTGTCCAAGCTTTGGCTATCCTCTGTCCTTTCTCTTCCCTTCTTCACCTTCCTTCCCTTCCTACCCTTCCTCTCTTTTCTCCCCTTCCTCCCCTCCCTTCCTCCCTCTCTCCTTTCTTCCCTTCCTCCCTTCCTTTCTTCCTGCCCTCTCTCCCTCCCACTCCCCTTTCTTGTCCTGGGGATTGAATCCAGGACCTCATACATGCTGGGCATATAGTCTACCACTGAGCTCCACCCCAGCTCCAAATCATTTGAGCTATAAGTTACAAACATAACCTGAATAGGATGATTTCTTGACCCTTTAAATTTTAATCAGTTTTTAAAATATATATATAAAACACCTCAAATCTAACACTCCTAAATAACAAATTAGTCAATGCCTTTGGAATTTTCCTTTTGCATGAATTTGACACATGTTCTTGAAGAATTTACATTTGAATCCCAAACCATGTTCTCTCTGTGCCTGGACTAGTGCAAGGGCAGTGTCTACAGCTGACTTTGTTGTCACTAATCCCACAGACAAGCAAGAGCTAACACTTATTGCCTCGTGATGACATGTCGGCCCGGGGCTAAGTGTTCCATGCATTAGCTTATTGAATTTTCATGACCCTGTCAGATAGATGACATTAAGTTAGGAGACGGAGAGGTAAAGCAAGCTGTCTAATCTGACCCAGCAAGGTGGGGGTCAAACTGGGGTCAAAGGCCGGATCTATCAGGTTCCAGAGCCATGCTTCAAGTACTACATTCTACTCTACTGGCTCCTATGTGCCAATACTTGCAACATCCGGACCACTGACCTTTGAAAAAGCCTACGGAGGCACTGGACTGCCCCAGTGGGATTGAAACTGAAGGGAAGTCAAAGGAGAGATGAACTTTGGTTTGCATTTATCCTCCCAGGCCTTGGCCTTGGGGACATCACCCATTAGCACCTCACATTTAGCATCTCACCCATTAGCACTTTGCCCATTAGCACCTCAACTCAACCCTCCTGAGAAGGTGAAAGTTTATATAGAGTTTAAGAAAACTCCTTAGATTTTCTCCTAAATGAGATTAAAAAGAGCCTTTCTGTTTTAACTCACCTAACTTTTTTTTTTTTTTTTTTTCCTATTTCTAGTTCATCAGAATGAAAGAAGCTTGGATATCAGAACCATGTGAATGTCTTTATCTAGTGGCACTGGAAGCTGTTTGCACTTAGAGATGGAGGCCAAGGAGCCTTAAACTCAGAGCCAACTGGGTAATGGATAGGGACCTCCCCTTAACCTTCCTTAGGGAGGCCCAGGAGGCAGGGGACTTACGCAGGAGATACTCAGCCGTGTCCTGTTCGTAGTCTGCATCTTCTGGGAAGTGATCGATTTTCTTGCACACGCCTCGGAAAGCCCCTGTGGAAAGAAATATGGTCCTGAGCCCAGGGAAGAAGGCAGTGGCCCTGAGGCCTAGCCTGGGTCTTCAACCCCATGATTTTGGAGGAGCTGTGCTTGGGTAGGTCCAGCAGCATCTTTATTTAGGAACCCCTAAAAAGAGATTAGTTGCTATAGTTTGGATCTTGAATGTCCTCAAAAGACTCATCTTAATTCCCATTCACTGGTGCCATTGGGAGGTGGTGGAAACTTTAGGAGGTGGGGTTTAGTAGGAAGAAGTTCACTGGAAGTGTGCCCTTGAAGGGAACCCTGGGTGCTTTCTATCCACACCATGCTACCTATCATAATATTCTGCCTCGTTGAGGCAAGCTAGAGGTAAGAAAGTTTGGAGCTCATGTAGGTTGCCCAGGGATGGCCCAGACCATCCGCACATGGACGGCAGCCACCCAACCCCACTCCCCACTCATTGATTATTGGACGGCAATCTCCTGGGTCTGCCCTCCCCAGGGGTTAGTGTAGGTTTGAAAAGCACCTGAAAAAGAAAAGCATGCTTTCTCTGTCGGCAGACTCCACCTGCACCCATCACGCTCCCTTTGTATTTCCATTTCCCTAACATTTAATAAACCCTATTCACACCTACACGTTCTGCTTGGGTTCTTCCATGACAGAAAGCAAAACCAAGACCTTTTGGAAATGCTGCTTGCCGTTAACATCATCACAGCCCCCAAAACAATGGAGTTAACTGACCTTGGACTGAAACCTTTTAAAAAGACCTCCAAATAAAATTTTTCCTCATTAAAAAGTTGATTTATCTCAGATATTTTGTCACAGTGACACACACTAGCACATCAATAGAAGCAAATAAATAAGTAAGTAAATAGTAGAAGACCAAGATATTCTGCTCCTTAGATATTACACACTGCAGGTGTCCATTTGGAAGGGAAAGAGCTAGCAAGCATAAGCACTCCCAAGGACTGTCTTGTCCAATTCCCTCTTCCCCCATTAGTGAAGGGAGGGAGGATTTAAGGAAATTCACTTATCTTTCCATTTTACAGAGGAAGAAAGAAGAATTTTGCTTGAAATCACTCAGTTAAGTAGCAGAGCCAGAATTCCAATCAAGATCTGCATCCAGTCATGCTGAAATAGTCTGCTTTCTCCAGTAGCACTCATGCCAGAGGACCTGTCCTTTTTCTCTCTCCCCTCACCAAGGATCATGGTTCTCTGTCCCCTGCTGTGTGGCTCATCCCTTCTGGAGCCACAGAATTGCCAAGAACAAATCCCAGACAAACTGTCAGCATTTTACTTCCTTTCCTTTCTCCCAGCATAAACTTGACCTAACTCACTGTGTGTGTTTGATAATCACTGTAGGTGTTTATTAACTAGCCAATTAACCAATCTCTGGGGCAGTTAATGGCCCTTGTCAGTTCTTATAAATGACAAACAATATTTAGAACTCCCACCACAATACAATAGGAAATTATGCATTCTTGTCCTGGCCCCTGTCTGCAAAGATTGCTGGGAGGCAGTGTATGTGAGCAAAGCATAGAAGGTGGAGGAGCAGACAGAGCTGGGCTTGTTTTTCAGAGCAGTCATTGTAAGAATGAGAAAAGGCCATCCACAAGCATGAGATAATGTTTTTGCAAAGTGGTAGACACATCAGAATAATAGCCACCAGACAGGGCTTCCAGTGGGCCAGGCAATGGATAAAACCTTATATTCCTTATCTCACTTACTCTTAGCCCATGACCCAGGGAGGTAGAGCCATTAATATTGACATTAATGATGAAGCAATGAGGATCACAAAGAGGACGAAGGTGTCACCACTGTGGCTGTGGAGTGGCAGAATCGATTTTGAGTCCAGGCTTGAAAGCCTGTGGTTTCACCATTCCACTCTGAACAGCTATTATTATTATGTCTACTAATTATTATCTTATAATGATAAGAGTAATATCTACTTAACCCCTACTGTAGTAAGTGCTAAGCCAGAGACATTTCACAATAATTGCCATAAGATGTGTAGGACATCTCTTTTGTTCTGATTCTCTGCCCACTAGGCCAAGAATAGACTTGGAAACAAGAACAGGATCCAGGTGAAAAGATCAAGAAAGTGATTGAAGGGCTGGCAGAGTGCCTCAAGTGGTAGAGTGCCTGCCGAGCCCTAAGTTCAAACCCCACGGCTGGGATGTAGCTCGGTGGTACAGCGCTTGTCTAGCATGCGTGAGGCCCTGGGTTCGATCCCAGCACCAAAAAAAGAAAAGACATACACACACAAAAAAACCTCTCCCCTAAGTTCAAACCCCAATACTACCAAAAAAAAGAACAGAAAAAGAAAATGGTTGACAGTAAGACAAACCCATAACAATGTCCCTTATATTGAAAGGGACCTTAATTTTACTTGACCAGTTTCATTTACTATTTCTGTTTGCTTTTTTAAGTCCCATTGCCATTGGGTTGTGATATGGTTTGAATCTGAAATATCCCCAAAGACTTATGTTTGAAGGCTTGATCACCAAGTGTTCAGAGGTGACTGGGTCATTCAGGCTCTGACTTGATCCATGGATTAATCCATTGATCATAGTTGAATGGACTATTGGGAGGTGGTGGAGACAATTGGAAGTGAGACCTATTTGAAGGAAGTGGACCCTTAGAGGCATGCCTTTGGGGCTGTATCTTGTACCTAGCTCAGCCACCTTCGAATCTCTTTTCCTTTCTTTATCTCTTTCTCTCTCTCCTTCCTGATGCTATAAGGCAAGCTGCCTTCTCTACCACACTCTCCTGGTGCCTTGATGCTCTGCCTCACCTCAGGCCCACAAGCAATAGAGCCATCCACCCATGGGCTGAAACCATGAGCCAAAATAAATATGTCCTTTGAGTTTTTTATCTCAGGTATTTTTCACAGTGATAAAAAGCTAAAACAAGTTAATTGGACAGTAAGTCACAATAAATAGCACATTCACTATATACCATGTGCTAGTCCAAGTGTTTTACTTGTTTTATCCTCTTTAGCTCTTGAACACCTGGTGCTACAATCCCTAATTTACAGAGGAAGACGCGAAGGTTAGAGTTCCTGAGTTCTGTTCTGGCTTACAAATTTACAGGTGTAAGCGAAGTCCTTTGCTAAGTGGCTAATCATAGTTTTGTGGTCCATTTCCTGCAGTGGGCTGTGGGCTAGACCAGTGGTTTTCCCATCAACTGTGTTTTTTCTAGCGGACCCTGGGCAGGGCAATGGGGTTGGTAGCAGCCATACCTCATTGTCAGCTGTTGACATTTTCCAGGAAAGATTTCATAGGAGGAAAGGCTCAGGGGGAGGCAGAATATGAACTCTCCTAAAACAGACTTATCAGAATCACCATGAAGATTAGGAACCTCAGCCATTCCTGAATCTGTTTGTGGAATGGGCTTGCTCAAGTTGTCTTAAGACACGTTGATATAAGGACTTAGAGCCAGAAGCACAGGTAGGTCCTGGAGACCTACTTGCCAGCTTTTAATAGTTGAAAGAGGTCCAACTTCCACAGCTCTTGAGCTAAGAATGGTGTTTTCATATTTAGATGACTGGGGAGGGGGAACAAAAGAAGATTGTCACTATGACATGCAAAAAAATGTAAAATTCAAATTTTAGCACCTGTAAATAAAGTTTTATTGAAATACAACCATTTGTTCACAAGGCTTCAGTGGTGGTTTTCATGCAACTATGGCAGAGTTGAGTATCTGTGGCAGAGAAGGAGAGCTGGAAATATTTACTCTTTGGCTTTTTAAGAAACAATTTGTTGGGCATGTCATAGTGTTAGAGCACTTGCCCAGTGAGCCTGGGACCCTGAGTTCAAACCCCAGTCTCACTAAAGAGTTTGGGCCATCCTAGGACTGAGGACATAATCCAGGCTGGTCCTTCTAAAGCAGATAATGGTGGGCTTTTTGGAAAACTGGATTGTGAACTATTTTGTGATTTTTTTTTTACTTATTTTATTACATATTTTGCTCTATTTTAAAAAATCAAATATGTTGCTGCCATTTAAAATTCAGAATATTTCACATGAAAACACTACCTGTGGTTTCTCTCTAAAAATTAGGAGCCCTACAGCTACATAGGAAACAGATAGGAAAGTTGAGGTTTGAGGCTCACCTAGGCAAAAATGTTGGCAAAACCCTATATTAAAACAAAAAACCAAAATAAAAACCAACTCAGACATGGTGGCAGATGCCTGTGATCCAGCTACTTAGGAGGCAGAGGTAGGAGAATTGAGGTCCAAGGCTAGCCTTGGGCAAAAGCACAAGACCCTATCTGAAAAAATAACTACAGCACAAAGGGCTGAGGTCATGACTCAGGTGGTAGGGCACTTGAGGCCCCAAATTCAAACCTCAGCAACACCAAAAAAAAAAAAATGTTCCTTATGTCCATGTGATAACAAGTGCTTGTAACTGGACAGCAACAGCCCTCTTTAGCCTGGGAATGAGTTCTCCAGTTGGCTAACATCTACCCATGCAAATTTGAGTTTGAGTTTGCTACCCTTGAACCAAAATGTGTTTGGTCTTTCAAGTCACACTTTGCAATAATCCTGACTCAGCCACTCACTAGCTATGGAACCTATAGCCAATTACCTCTCCCAACTTACTTTCTCCTAAGATGATAATATCAACTTCACGCTGTTGTGAGGATGAATGGAGGCAATAATAGAAGTTGTGGTACCAGTTATTGTTCAGCACTTTACACATAAATCTTTAAATCAGCAACTACTTAAGTACAGTTCCTGGTACATAGCAAGAACTCAATAAATTATATTTATTACTACCATTAGTTTGGGTAGATATTTCAGAAATAGAAGAGACACATTGGAGTCATGGTGAGATTTAAAAAGCAATATAAAAGGAAGGGACTCAAGAATCCCCTTCCCCACCAAGGAAGACTCCTCACTGAAAAGAAAGCTGCTGGCACCCCAAGACATACACTTCTCTTAAGGTGAACTTGGCCATTCATATCAGTAGCATATTGCTAGCTCCTAGAAATAACTACTATTTAGCATTTT